ATACTTTGAACAAACTGTCCTGTTAGTACACCATGGAATCCAAACCACTGTTCATGTGCGTTCGTGAGTACACAAAGTGCAACAAACTGCAGCGAGAAGCGCGGGCTGTAGTTTCCTACTTCCCCGCCTGAAGAGCCGGTGAACCGCGGCGCCTGCTCAAAAGAACTACCCTTCCCAGCGAGCCCCGCGCGCCAATTAGAAACGTCAACGAGCCAGTGAACATTAAGCGGAGCAGACCAAAATCCCAAACAAGGAAATGGTGGGGGAATAAAACGACCAGATTATTTAATTAATGCATGTAATAATTAATATTTTATTTTATTGTAAATTAAGACGTATTTATGGGTTGAAATGGACTACGACTTCAAAACAAAGCTGGCGGCCGAGAGAGAGAAGGTGGAAGATCTGTTCGAATATGAAGGTTGCAAAGTGGGTCGAGGCACCTACGGGCACGTTTATAAAGCTAAGCGCAAAGACGGGTAAGATAACCGTGAACGTTGTTGTTTGTACTGACAGGAAGCTGACCGCACGGCGCATTTTGTCCGGACACCGTGTCTGTGTTAACCGGGGCGTTAGATTTGGACCTCCCCGAAACGATAACCCGTGTGTCTCTTATGTTTTTGTTTTCATGTAACACACTCACTCACTCGCCAACGGTCCCCCCCCCTCCCGCCTCCTTTTCCTCCTCCTCCTCCTCCTCTCCCCCCCAAAACAACACAGTAAAGCAGCGGTGCTAACGTTACTTTATTTTCTTTTGACAAGTGTCGTCTTTGCGGTGCCAGTGAACACAGCGTGCCCGTAATGTCATGGGCCGAGCCCCCCCATCTCTAACACTATGTGCTGACAAAGTTTTTTTTTCTAGACTCACAGTTTAATGTAACCTATTTGCGATTATATTTTTTTCGAGACAACGCACGTGTGAATACAACGTAAACACCAGCAGCAGGAAGACTGACAGATATGCTCTCACATTTCTGCTCTGCTATGCCAGCAGTGTCACTATTTGTTGCTACAGTGGTACAAGTGGCAAGTACCCAGTTGATAATGGTACTTCGTTATTGTGAAACGTGTTTAATACTGACATTTGCCAAAGTAGTGCATGCATTGCTCATATTTTTTTCCTTTTCAAACATATGTCATAGTTTGTCAAACAAAGTAAGAGATAGTGTGATAGTCTGACATAGTGATGCACTAATCCCACATTCTAGATTGGTTTGGTGCCTTTAATGACCTCATTACAGGGATCCGGTATTGGCCAGATGTGGCCAATCCCCATCCACGTCACTGTTGTTATGAAATTGCAATTTTGTCATAAAATTGTAACGATGTTATTAAAATTTTCACAAGTTTAAAAGACACGGATTGGGCATCCGCCAGGCATCTTACCTTCCACATAGAATACTGTGTACGGTAGGTGACACATAACACGAAAAAGAAAAAACAAAAGATCAGTACTCAAGATCAGCCAATAGCCTTTGTTTAACTTTTTGTATTGGGAGGGAAAATGTGGAGTTTGGTACGGCCATAAATTAGCAATTTGCATTAGTCATATCATCGGCATCTGTCTCAGATAAGCCTTTCCTCTATTCTTCATTGACTCGCTGAGTCAGTGCTGCAGGCGGGGTCTTATCGTGTTCACCTCTACAACATTGGATAATAGAGACGTGGCGTGAGGTCAAAAGGTGAACACAGGCAGGCAGACGTCTCCGCCGTAATGCTGAGAGCCTTGTTTAATGCTGTGAGGTAATAACATCCTCAAGGGTATTATAGATTTAGTGCCGGGGATACGGTGTAATTAGCGCATCCGAGGGCTTCCTTAAAGGACGCTGAACAGATTAAAGAGGAAATACAGTGAGATGGTTTAAATCTTCCAACACGTTCTTATTCCAACATGTCACATACTGACTCTTTGCCCCTTGGTAGCACTTCTAAGACACTGGGTAGCCCAGCGCACGGTCAAAGTAAACACGCGGTCAACGTTGTGAATTCCAACAAAAATCCTAGCTTAGGTTTTGCCAACAAAATCTTTTAGTTAGGTTTAGGAAAAACTTCATTGTTGGGCTCAAAATAGGTACCTAAATTTAGGTTTAGGCAACAAAACCACATGGTTAAGTTTAGGAAGACCATCATAGTGTGGCTTAAAATAAGTACGTAAACTTAGGTTGAGGCAACAAAACTACATAGTTGGGTTGAGACAACAAAACCACACAGTAAGGTTTAAGAAAACCTTTATGGTTGGGCTCAAAATAAGTACTTAGGTTTAGGCAACAAAACAACTTAGTTTGGTTTAGGAAAACATGTCCTAAGAAGAAAGTGATTAGCTAATAGCTGTAGCGGTGCTTTACTTCTTAATGCTTTTTCATGACACTACAAAATTATATATAAAATCCATCAAGAGATCTACTCATTCAATTTGAAGTGACTGCACAAAACATAAAACACAAATCTTTCTAAAGGACAGCAAGTAGATAATTTCACTTTTACTGCAGAGATGTGAATTCTTTTAAAAAAAATTCAAAGCAATGGCTCTGACAACTATGTTGCTTCACCTAAATACTGTTGACACAATACTACAGCTTGTTACATGTAATATTATGGTTGTTTCCGTCCTTGGCAAAAGAAACTATACAACTGTAAGTGAAATGTGGAGAGTTGCTGCTGTCAGCCTGTGTTTGTATTCTCAGGCTGTAGGCAAGGCCCTGGGGATGAATGGCATCACATATTATAGTGAACCTATACCTGTCGGGCTTTATTTAAGTGAAAACTGAAAGGCAGCAAAACCACTTTCTGTCCCCAGAGCATAACGGTCCAGAAATTATTTATCACACATGCATGTTTTTGCATGTTCTTGGCTTCACACCTAGGGGATATATGCAACTTTAGCCAGCTCGTCCCAGCTGGCAGTAAAAAGGAGAAGTGTGCCTTAGGCAAGATGTGAACATGTATTGTCAGTGTTTTAAAGAAGTAGGTGGAGTGTTTCCATATGCATACAATCCTAGTGCCTATGTAGGACACATAAACAAAGGCACCAGTGTGTGTGCAGACATGAGTTGTCGTCATCTGAAAAAAAAACAATGCGACATAAAAATATCCTATTTTTTATCTTTTTTTAAATGTTATAAATACAGTAAATATGGTCCAGGCTCATCACAAGCAGTCTCTCGTTTCGTGGTTAATACATCAAATCAGTTCTAATGTTTGGACATAGGGAGGCTGTGTGTTGGAAAGAATCTGGCGATCCGATACGTATCACGACACAGTGGTCACACGATTCAATATATCGCGTTATATTGCGATACTGTAAGCAAGGTGATGTATTGCAATTTATTGGTGCGCTGTTATGGTTGCGTTATTCATTGGCCCCACGATGTCCAAGCGACAGACTCCAGCACCTTTGTTTTTACCTCCTTGTACAGCTTGTGTTGTCGGTAGGGCATGGTGTAACAACAAGGCTCCGTTGTTTTCACCAAATTACAGAAGCCTTCATTTTCCACAACAGGTGGCGAGGGTGCGTAGCTTTGCGAATGACATAAAGCGCTGATTGTGGGATTTTGGTTGCCCGAGTTGAGGTCAGTGGTAACTTGGTATGTGAACTTGTTGTTCCAGAGTGAGTTGAGAGGGATCCACTCGTTTAACGTTAGCCATTTGCTGTTGAGTTAGCTGTACATCAAATTCTTGCTAAGGGTGCTCTCAGATTGCTTGTGTTCCCCCCGAGTTTTGGCATGGCATGGTCCAACTCTTTAGGAGTCAGGGTTTGACTTGGTCTGATAATGCTAACGTTAGCGGTGCGCCCTTTCAATACTTTCTGTCTCAGTTTATTTAGGTACGTTGGCGGCAGTCTCGGAACCCTTCAGTCTGACAACGGATAAGCTAATGCTAACGTTAGCGGTGCACCCGTACACTACTTCCTGTCCCCATTTAAATTGTAACGTCGGAGGCAATCTTGGAACCCTCCGGCTATCGGCCTGACGACGGATAAGCAAATGCTAATGCTAACGTCAGTGGTGCTTCTCTACGCTACTTCCTGCCTCAGTTTACATTGTTACGTCAGAGGCAATCTCGGAAACCATCGGCTATCGGTCGATAAGCCTTTTGGGGCAAGGGGCTATAATTCTGGGGTTCCGGTGAAGCCAGCGTACATCCAGGCCAGACTTACTTTCCCGCACGCTGCTTATTGTCTACAGTCCGATTACCAACTTCGCAACCCGAGTTGGAGTTGAGAGACGACAACTACAACCGGATTGCTTTTGGAGTCAATGCGTTCCGCCTCTTTCGCTCTCCACACACAACTGTTTACCTGCAATATGAATGATATCCATTCAAATGCAGCATTCACACTGCAGAATGAATGACTGTCCTGAGTGGCAAAAAATAACTTATTTTCAAGTTTAGTCGCTTTCTATTCAGTTCTTTAAGTTTGAGCGCTGTCCATGTTTAGGTGTGCACTACAGTAACACACAAAGCGTTGGGTCGTTCGCGCGGGTCCAAAGCAAACTTTGTTCAGACATTTGCAGAGCTGCTCTGGTGGTTGTCTTAAGCATAGGTTTGTGGTACCAGTCACCAGTGCATCCGCAGACCAGAGTGATCCAAAGCTTTTGGAACAGGTCCGTGCTGCTGGCGTTGCTAGCAAGCACTAAACCAGCAAGAACAGGCACGCTGTGTCTGCTGACCAACCACGCAGACCGATCTCTCAGCAGCTGTTCCAGCGTGTTGAATCGGCATCAGAGGGAGTCAGCGAGAAGGAGTTCTCTGATTGGTCGTTTAGCCATCGTAGTCGTTTTCTCTCCGACGACAGGCTGCAAAACCTTTACGGTGCCACATGGACCATTATTCTGAGAGATTAATCCGATTCGCACACATTTTGATAATCAATAAAGCGTTTAAGAAGTTTTTCAAGCAAAAATGCCGTTCTTTCTCTGGCTGCAGCCTTTCAAATAAGAATAATAATACACTTTATTTATATGGCATTAAAAACAGAAAATACACAGTGTAATTTCAAGTTATTGGATAAAAGACATTGTGAAGATATGCAGTTTTTTTGTTTGATATGATACGAAACAAAACATCTTCTGGATTTAGACTGTTGTTTTGAGAAAACAAGCAGTCTGATGATGTGTCCTTGGCCTTTAGGACATTGTGATGGGTATTTTCCAGTATTTTCCGACAGTTTAAAGAGCAAGACATCAATAATTGATTAGTGGAGAAGTTAATTGGCAGATTCATTCCGAATACGAACTTTAACATGTGAGTTGACGCAGCCGTCAAGACTCTTGAAGTTGGCTTCATGGTTCCCGCCTTAAAGGGGAACTACACTCATTTTCAAAATTCATACATATTATTCGTCTGGTCTAAGACAGTCCAAACATATAAGTACACATAAACAACTCCCTCCCAAATCCAAAAACTAGAGAGCTGAAACTCAAATGTGCTCAATGTTAACAGATATTGATTTAACGTTCCCACGCCATTGAGATGTTGGCGTTCTTCATTTAGGTGGTGTTCCCCTTTAAGAGAGCAGTGCTCAGCCTGTTAAAATAGCTGTAGGATTTTTGTGGAGGAGTTAGTTTTTTGTCATTTTTTCCCCCCTCTGCTTTTGCACAGCAGAGCTCCTATTTTATTATCTGAATTAGACTAAATTCATACGAGGACATTTTATTTGCAGACCGAAAGATGAAGTGTTATGAGCTCTTCTGAGCATATGTGCAGGTCAATTAGTATGAGAGATGTGTGCCTGAGCGCTCCGTTAAATCCACGACCGTCTCCAGTGCGAATTGGGCTGAAGCGGGTTCGATCTTAGCACCGCAGGGACCAGTTTGAACTGTGCAGGCTGGACGCTGAATGAAGTTGTTATTGGATGCCGTCCACAAATTGTCTTTACATTTGAAAGTTTTTTTTAAATAGAAACAGTTTCCTTTTAGCCATTTCTCCACTGTTCTCTGCTCAGGTTGTATTTCACTCGCTGGAACACTGCTTATCTCAAATAATTAATATCTGTCTGCCGAACATGTCTCACTTTTCACTTATGGATTGCTTTTCATGCATGAATGTGATTCACAAGGGTGTGTCCCGCAGACGCCAGAAAGTGAAATTAATGGCCGAAATGCTGCCAAGCTAAGCCGCTGTGTACTGTAGTTTTAATCATTAGCATCCGTCTTTGCATCAAGAGTGAAAATGATTCACGCGGGGGGCCGTGACCCGGGCAACAAAGGACCACGTGAGATTAATGCTGAAAATCTGTGACGCCTCCAGTAATGTTGCTCCCAATTTTCTCTTTTCATCCCTACAGGAAAGATGAGAAGGAGTACGCACTGAAACAAATAGAAGGCACTGGAATATCGATGTCTGCCTGTAGGGAAATCGCTGTAAGTTCCAACTCTTTTTTTTATTCTAGTTTTTGTTTGTTAGATCACAGTTTTTAATATTAAAAGAAAAAGTCAACACGTTGCAGAATATTGTACTTTGCTTTCTTTCTGAGGTAGAAATGATTATTTCATGTCTGTGTGTTTAGTCCAGAGGTTAGCCTAGCTTAGCCTTAAGACTGGAAACATTAAAATGTTTTGCCTAAAGCTCACGAATTAACACGTTGTGTCTCATAAAATGCTGTAAGGATTATGTACTGCACTGGTTTCCTCCTTAAAAAAGCTAATGCGATTTTTCCATTGGATTATTCTAGAAAATAAGCTCCGTCACAAACAAAAGTTCATGATACTTCCACGTTTTGTTCAGCAAGGTAATCTTTGCGTGACGTGAAGTAAAAAGCTAACGTTAGGCTAAAAACAAACTACACCACGGTCACACAACTTCACACCATTAAGCTAAAGGCTGATTTGTGTTCTAGGAATGACGTTTTGTAGCTTGTTAGCATATGTTGTTTACACTATTGCTTGTTTGTCTCAAACCACAAATGTTTTTTTTTTATATTTCTGTTAATGCACAAGTTAGACAAACAAGATAACACTTCCTACCTCATACTTCGGACAAACAGACAGAAATAGAAACACCTGGCAAAGTACTCCAAACCTCTCCTGTGGTACAGTTCCCGCCACAGTAGGTGTCTCCGGGACAACGCTTTGCCACCGTGACTCACACACAGCAGAAAACAAAAATCCATCTGCGATGTAGCCCGACAAAGCATGTAACTTCATATCATAACTGTGTCAACTCGCTGCTGGAGACCGCCGGTACCGGTGTCAACTATCACTTCCAATAACTGTCCTGTCTGAGGAAAAGCCATAAAGAACATTTAGCTATGCCTTCTGTTGAATGACAAAAAGCCAGATAGTTGAAGACAACAATGTTCCATGCATGAAAGGGGCATAGCACCGAACCAGGTTGATTTTGTTATGAACCACAAGACTTTCACATGGTTTCCAGCTAGCACTGGAGTTTGAATCCATAGCATTTGAGGTTGGGGGGAGGGGGGGGTTGGCAAGTCAGCATGCATCCAGTACTCTTGGATACTGCAGCTAGAGAAAGAATGTGGCCCCCTTAGACATGTCCACGGTCTCTGGTTTCCAGTGTAACATGTTCACCTGGAGGCAGGCTATGGGCCATAACACTGTCAGCGACGCCATGCAAACACACTCTGTAGCACTGAGCAAACCTCGCTGCAGTTAACCTCAGGAGTATTTTCCGTGACCTCGAGCCACACAGTAACATTACTTTGTTGTACATTCAAGAAGCTGACAAGATCTTAGCAGTTCCTCTTTTTTTGTTGCCGGCAGGTTCTTTAAACTCAAGTCATCCTTCAAGCTAAGTGTGTGCGGATTCATCGGGTGGTGGGGGTGCAGCTTTTGTTTCTTTTTCGAATGGGCTTAAAGGAGCGAACCAGTGATTTTTATATGCTCAAGCCGGTTTAGTTTCAAAGCCCCAAGTCTGCAGGCTGATTTCCTCCAGAGTAAACCAGCGGCTGTCTGCAAAACACATTTCAGAGTTCGCCCCTAAACACAATGGTATGCTTCGGAAAAGGATTGGCAGTAAGGTAAAGAATACTTGCAGTGCATGGGCTAAGGTATGCAAAGACACATTCCTGAATTTCCAGCATTACAGCCAACCAGCAGAAAAGGGGACAAAGGTCAGAGGCACAGCTGGTCACACATGAAGCGACAATGTAGCGAGTACAGATGTTGACTCTGCATGTTTGAAAGTACTTTCTCAAGGGAACGAGGATCATTTCTCAAGATACGGAAGCAAAACAGCAAAGTATTATGCAGACCTCTTTTTGCCAGACAACCATGTCAGATCAACATAGCGGCACATTTGTAATGTGACTTTATCTTTCAATGTAAAAATAGTTAAATGTAGCCCCAAGCGGCGATTCCGGGGGGGTTCAAGCCAACACACAATCTGTGCCGGGTCACGCCCTTCATTGGCAAAACCGTCACCCCCTATTGGTCATTGGTCAATTTCAAAACATTTTCGGGACATGTTTCAATAGCTTAATTAACAATGTACCCACAAGTTTGGTGACGGTTGGACAAACTGACATTGATATATGGCCAAGTTTGTGTCAGGCCTTTGCACGTGTTTGGAATTGGTGGCGCCACCTATTGGCCGATTTGAAAACAATTTGGTTCAACGTTGTTATGAAAAATGTCCCGGGAGTTTTGTTATGATTGGACAAATACATTTGTGATTTATAGTCGAGGAATCATTTTTAACATATCTTGCAAGTTTGGTGATGATCGGCCCAACGGTTGTGGATTTGGGTATTGATGTCCCTTTCGTTGGTCAATATCTTCAAAACGCAATGACATATCACAAAGCTTGTGGTAAATTTGGATAATCTTGGTCTATTTATGATCCACAGAAAATTTGGTCCAAATCAAACTTGCGGTTTTTAGCAGATGTCAAAAATTAGTTTTTTGAAAAAATCAAAATGGTGGAAAATCTAGTCAGGGGGACTTCAGTGGTTGTTGGTGCAAATTCGTAGAGTGAATGAAGATGAATGTCTCCTATATAAATTTTACCTTTAATTATAGCGCCCCCGTCACGCCGATTGGGCTCATACTTGATGAGCAGCATTTGAACACAACTTCCGATCATTGGTGAAAATACCATCTCACAGGAACTTGCGCAAACCTCTCTGAAGAAAAAATACTATGTCGGCGCAAAAAACGTAGTTTCAGTCTCTTCTGGGATCGAGCGCCTAATAAAGCAGAGGTACTGTCACACAAGATTAGAGTAATCTAAGGCGGGCTTCGTAAGTCTTTTTGTGACCGTCTAAGCTGAGTTAGAAAAGAAAAAAGAAATCAGATAGAGAACAAGAGCAATCAGAAAGCAGATGAGGCTACAGAGACCTGCTTTTAATGCACTTGCATTTATTTATAGTCCCGTTTCGTAGGCCTCAGTACGCTTTACAGAAAACAGCACACTTATTAAACGGAGAGTAGAGTGAATAAAAGATAACATCATAAACAATGTTGACCTGCCTCTCTATTAGAGAATGCTTTTGCTGGTGTGGTTTAAAGTCAACTCACCATTTCCTGCAGCTGCTTCACACTGAAAACCACAGGGTCAGAATAGACCTTTTCAGACATACCGACTCGTCATAGTAGGAGAAGCGCAGGTGTAACTGATAACATTGACGACTGCTCAGTGCTGTTAAGAGTGTTAGTCTGTGGTAAAACTTGTCTTTTCAACGCCACTTTTGTCACCCGATAATGCCGGGACGCATTAACTGTCAAGTCTGTGCCCTCCGAGGTTGGATCTTGTTCTCATTGGGAACCCGATCAGTTTGTTCAATTCAAATTGATCAAACGTAGGCCTCGATCCTCTTCCTCTCCCGAGGAGATCAACGTGAAGAAAGGAGGAAAAACCGAGGCTGGACCACAGCTGAGACCTGTAAAGTTACTGCTGGTAAAAAAAGGGGGGACTTTTATTGTGAAAATTTCATAGGAAAATGTGTTCATCTCCAAATAAGCGGAGCTTTGTTTGCGGCTTTTTTTGTTGTTCATTGCGGGCCTCGTTTTATGTAACTGCATTCCGCCCATTGGTTTGTTTTGCCACTCACACGGTGACGGGGAGGTTTGATATGTGGAAAAAGTGTGTTTGAACACACTGCACATGCAGAACCACTCCAGGGCTCAGAGGAACCTGCTGTCATTCATTCATTGGTAGTATGTAAAACAACTTCCACAGAGTTTGTAAAAGCTGCTAGCTAACTATAACGCACAGAGGAAACATGAGCCTAATTTTGTTTTTCAAATAGTTATTTTGGTTATGTTTACTTGGACGAAGTTAATTGTTTTAACTACCACATTATTGGCTTGGCAGCATAATCTGTAATGCAACCACAGAAGTGATCAGACAGGTTGTTAAGTCTTAGGTTCGTTGTTACTCCACCTCTTGCACTTACTGTGGCGGTTTACATTGAAATGGACAGTTGGCTTTGGGCTTCACTTCCATGTGATGACTAACCTCGTCCTTTCATTTTTTTTAGATTATGATCTTTATTTTCATTTTGGTGACTAGATGTTCTACAGGATCTCCTGGGCGTATTTTGTGGCAAAAGCTGTCAAATCCAGGACACAGGACACAAGAAATCGCTTTCCTAAATTTAGAGAACAATTCATGCCTCCATCAAATCATCTGTATAGGAACCTCCCCTCCAAATAAGACACTCTATTGCAAGTCATAAAGAAAGAGAAACAGTCAGTGAAAACCCAAAGGAGAACTTTATTAGTGTTGCAAAAAAACACTTTCCAATTAAAAACCGTCTCCCTCATATATTTAAAAGGCTTATGACTGCCATCTCACAAAATACCTGGAATTAGAATGAAGTACTATGATTGAAGATAACACATGGGAAGACAATCAAGCTGTCATAAAGGAATTAATAGCCAACTATGTGGATATTTAGACTGGAAATCAAAAATGTGATATATTAATGCATCTCTCATCACTTGTATCTTCATGTGTGAAATAACCTTCTGTGGGGTTATGTTGGTGAAACTGTGGGAAGATAGTGGACCAATAACCCAATCATTTAAGGCTTCTGGAGAAGAGTTAAAGAAGAAATTGGCAAAATTATAGACACAGATGTCGTTCAGATCAAACATAGCTTAGTCATTAAGACAGATGATGAGTCAGGAGTCTCACATCTCTTCTTTGTGTACTTTGAGTCACTACAGGTGTTGTCATGGATTCAACAAGGATGGGCTGGTAGCAATGCGGAGCTCTTACTCTTGTGTCGAGCTACGTGGAGAAACTCATGGCTGTTGATTCACTTTGGCTTCGGGGGAACAATCGTCCCTTTCTAATGCCTCTGTTCATGGAAGAAGTCGGCCTGCTTTTTGGTATCTGGCTGCTCCGCAGGGGAGCAGAAAATAAGACAGGATGTGTTTTTTTGTCGTGGCATTTG